GGGGGGAGGGGGGGGGGGGGGGGGGGGGGGGGGACGAGACAGTATGGAAAAGGCCTCAATACAACCAAACCAATAGGCCTTTCGTAAAAATTGGCCCTGCATACACGACGAGGTAGGGCTAACGAAACTCACGATGATGACGGAGGCTTGCCGGAGGCTGCGATTCTCCTCTTGAAGCGCCTTGACCCTCAACTTGTAAGTCTCGAGCTCGACCTTGAGGACCCGATTGTGCTGCTGGAGGGACTCGATTCTCTTTTGCAGCTGCTCCCGGGTCACCGGCGACGGGGGCATCATTATCGGGCCACCGTCGATAGAGCTCGAGTCACTCTCGGATGCGCTGTCGCGGTCAGCCATTTTTCTTCGGCTCTTTAAATCCAAAAACGTCTAGCGCAGCGGCGCGGGCACACGGAACTCCTTCAAATGTTGCGTGCGTGCGCGCGCGCGTGCGCGCGTACGTGAGCGAACCCGAGCGCCTGTGTGTGCGACGAGAAGCAGCGAACCTCCGCGTACGTACGCCCGTGCACGTGCTATGTACGTTAACACGGATCCTCCTTTAAGGCGAGGACTCGCGGACGCGACGCTCCGTTACAGGGGAGTCGCGGCACCGGAGCGTTCCAGTACTCGAGGGCGTTGAAAGATCTTCGTAGATTGACTCGACAGTGACGACGGTGGCGATGGTGATTGTGAGGTGATGGCGATGGCGGCGACGGCGGCGGCAGCAGCAGCAGCAGCAGTAGCAGCAACAGCAGCGGCGGCGGCGGTGGCGGCGGTGGATGCGGCGGGGCGCGTGGGTTTCGCTTGATTGGATCGGCAAACCGGCGCCGTGTCGCACTCTTAAGGGCTCGCTTAGCAAATTGTTGCGTGTCTCGGAGACGATGTCGTCGTCCACCACCCGACCGATAATACTCGAGAAAACTCGGACTTTGGCGCGCGATGTGCATTAACATGTGCTCGACGCATCTCCTCCGCTCCGAGATCGGCCTGGTTATAACGGATCAGCTGTTTGATACGTCCATCAACAGCCCCGTTCGAAAGACAATGACAGAGAGTGATCTCTCACGAGCGAGAGAGAGAGAGAGAGAGAGAGAGAGAGAGTGAGAAAGGGAGGGAGAGAGTTTTGCCGTCACTGGGAACGGTGAGGCTATAGGCCCGTTCGAGGCATGATTTGTCGTTAGAACGGGAACGGGAACCGATAGCCAATACGGAGCGAGGAATTATGCGAAAACCTGATAATCCTCCGGGCCAATGCTCTCCGTGTAAATAAGACCACTAAGTTTGTTTGCGGACTGCTATTCTGGAGTTGGGCATCGATGGTTGGGTTCTAAGGTGCCTCGATTGCCGCGACTTTTACCTGTGCTCACGGGGAGTCAAGGTGAAGTGGCGGATGTAATTTTTTTTGTCTCTAACAATATCATAGAAACGAATGGTCCGTTGATTCGAAGCTTCAAGCGATGACAGATAGCTGCTTTGATTTTTATAAAAATTTCAACTATTATCTTCGTAGTCCCTGCCCTTTATAAAAGAAAGCTCTTTATCTATTTAAATGTAAATGTATATTTAACTCGCCTCAAGGATAAAGCAAAATTTTCCCAGGATTCGTTGATCTTGCGCTTTAAAAGCCTGCATTCGTTTGTCGAGATTTTCAAGCTAAAGTCCTTAGTGAAGCACCAATAAGGCTTATTTCGTTTCATTTATCATTTTTACAAAACAAAGGATTTTTATATATATATATATATATATATAAACAAGATTTTCAAAATGCTAATCTAAATTTGAGAACAATTATTTCTTACGTAGAGGAATTTCAAACTAGTCGACGCGTGTACGACATCTACGAGAAGAACGTGCTTTCAACAAATAGCTGTTACGGAGCTTTCTCAAGCTTAAAAAATTGTCTAGAAAAGAAAGTAAAATTACTCAACATTGCCACGAATATTATTGTTTTAATAATTGCAATAGTCGTATGAGATGATGAAATATTATTTTATGTTCGAGCCAGGCAGAGTTATGCAACTCGTTATTCGCAGAATACCTTCATAATCTATTAATGTAAATAGAAAAGTGAAATTTTATCGCAACTTGTACGAGGCTATCATATTCTCAGGATCGATAATTTTAAATGATTTTTAGTGGGAAAAATATAGCACGTTTCGAGATGAAATTAAATACAAGTTTACATGTGCCCATTATACGGGGGATATTTTTTATAAAATTTATTTATTACTATTATTCTTTTAATGCATAACTTTTTTAAAGTTTACATTTAATGAAATAACATATATAATAGTATAATTTTTTTTTATTTTATTATAATGAAAACAATAAATTTCATATATATATATATATATAAAGCAAATACAATTCTTTTGCTTTTTTAAAAACACTTATTTTTTGTTATTTTTTCAATTTGTATAATCATTTTTTTCTTCTTTACAAGAATACTTTTGGAAACAAGAACGTTTACAAATAAATTTATAGTTAGTTACTTACAATATTGAAAATTGAGTCGTGTATGGATGTCTAATGCGTTAAATCAGGATTGCAAGGATTAGCTAAGCTAAAAATATTTAGAAAAAACTTTTCAAAATATCAGTAATAGCATCACCTACTGAATCTCATAAATTAAATTGGGAAACGTTTATTTATTTATTATTATTATTATTTTTTTTTTTTTTTAACAATATGTATTTGAAACACATTATGTATATAATTTGTACAATATATAAGAAATTTTTTTTTTAATATTCTGAAGAAATTATAACTCTGTTTATTTTATCTTCAACGTACGACTTTTTGTCATAGAGGCAAATTTAACAATTTTTTTTATCATTATTTTAAGGATGAATCAGTGCCTTGAGATTAAAAAAAAAAAACTTTTATCTCATATATTACGATCTCTGTACTTTTTAATTAAAAGTATTGTAAATATGAAAAATCAATTGTGCCTATAATAATTCGTTCATTTAACTCAAATTTCTAACTTTTGAATTGAAAATAGAATATCAGCATTTTTATTTCTTAATTTTAAAATTGAATTTACTATGTTATTGTTGTATCCGTTACAAAACATAATTTTTTGCGTATGCGAATAAAATTTTAATTCTCAGTTGATCAGTTGTTTGGAAATATAAAAAAGAAGAAACATGATTAAAATAAATAACATATTACATGTTTTTTGTTTTGTTTTTATCTTGTTATTGTCTTGGAATGTACAAAACGACTATTAACGTTAAATCAATTTTTCTTAATATATAAATCTACAAGAAACATATTTTTGTTTTTCTCTAATTGAAATTCATTTTAAAGTAAAATTTTTATCTTTTTTTTTTCACTGGTTATTTCTTGTTTCATAAGACTTTATTTAAAATACTTTCTATGTAACACTCTGTAGAAGTCAATTTACAGATGGATTCCAGTTATACATGTTTAGATAGTTTTAACAGGCGTACAAACAATTTTATAATACACTTATAATATAATCTAGTATCGCGAATACTTTTGAGCGACGGAGTAACTAATTTTATAAGAGTTATATTTTTCCATTAATAGCTTTACTCGACTATTTTATATAGCATAATGAGTTTAAAATTGAATCCAAATTAGAAAAGGCCAAAATCGAATTTATCTATTATTATATACGAACTTCTTTTAATTTTCCATTCCATTATTCATGCGTCGATTTACCACCGCTGAGTGAAATTAATATTAAAAAAGCGCTGTTCGTTAAAAAATTGATACGTAATTATATACAATCACATAATTATACAATTAGGGATGCGTGTATATAGCTATATAGGAGATAACTATCGATATTTATAATATAAAATTTTTAATAAACTTTTAACAAATATATGTAAAATTTTAATGCGATGAGAGTGTCTTTACGATTATATATTCGTAACATTAATTTCTAAGATAAAACTTTTTGCACAGACTTTTAGAATCATTCTTATGGACTTTTCGTTTGCGCTCGTTTCCTTTTCCTTTTTGAATATTTAAGTATACACGGCAGAAGTTTATCGAACATACTACACATTACAGCTACAGCTCGCATGAATTCATATTTATATAGAGTATATGTATACGTATAAGTCGCAATTTCAGTCCTTTATTATGTACTTAGGATTACATTTTGGAAAGAGGAAGCTTAAGCGCTAACGTAGTGAGAGTTATAATTATGAACGGAGAAAGTAAATCGCGTCATTTAACATTTCGATCGATTTATTTTGTCTTCAAAATACGAAGCTTATACTATACACAGCATTCAGGTACAAATCTCACAAAATCAATGCATTATACATTTAATGCCATTACATTATTATTATTTGCCATTATATTTCATGTGGGTCTCGAGGTGTTTTTGTTATTCACTTTTGTTTGGTATAATAATCCTACTTTCGCGGCGGGGGAGGGTGGGAGAGGGGGGGGGAGTGAATTTTATGAATGCTCATTATAAGATTCAGACTATTTTAGAACGATTCATCTTACATACTTTAAAATCAAAGAATGTTAAATAAAGGGAAATAAAGTAACATCTTGGGAGAAAGAAAGTAATGTTCAGTGGCGAGCAAGACATGGTAATACAAAGATTGGTTGAATTGCTTTTACATTGATTAACCTTCATTGGAGTACATATTCGCATATACACACTTCGAACATAGGTCGATCAAATAAATGAATTTCCAATCCTTGGTCACGCACCAAGTACACGCGCACTCACGCCGCGCACGCGCACACACATGTACCTGCATGTGCGTATAATCACGTATTATGCAAAGGCTTCCTTCCTCCTACAGATTCGCTCCTTTAGTTATGATAAGTTTGTCCTTTGGCCTTGACACTCTACGTGAACGACATATCACTTATTAAGCACATTCCTCTTATTAAGACTATGCCTGCGTACTAATTATGCCTTTATCACATAAAATCCACGTCATCCATCAACGCCCATCATCATTATCTATTATATCGCATCTGAATGGCTCATATCGATTAACATTATATTTTATAGGCTATATAAATAATATTATCAATAAATTTACAGACCAAATCTTAAGGAAGAAAATAAATCGCCACTATTGTAATAATTACGTGGTAGTAATTAAAAGTGAAACGGAAATGCGACTCAAGAGTACTGAACGTGAATGCAAGTTGTCAAGTATGTAAGAGTGACATTTATTCAGGATTGTACGTTCGCCAAACGTGTAGGAGTTGTCGGCTGTATGTCCATTGTCCGACACACCCATCCAGCAATATCAACGTTTTCCGACTCGGCTTTCTTGATCCATTCGTGATTCTGTACAAGCGACAATGAAAATATTAACGAATCGGTATCGCTCGTGTCACGAGATTATTGGCTTTAAAATCGCCAGCATAGGCATTAGAAGAGAGACTTTAAGCATTTCGTTATAATTGTCCAAGCAATTTAATCGAAATATCATGGAATCTTTATTATTTAAAAATTGAAAGAAATTGACGTATTTTAATTTTTTCAAGTTATACGATTAAGTTAGCTACGTTTGCTATTTCTGAATTAATTGTCACAACATTTAGTTATAAATGGAAGATTCAACCTTAAGGATTATTGTTTAGTTAAACGCGAATAATAACTTTCAGATCTACGATCGAATAGATGTAAATAAAATCGGGCTAATTTATCTTACTATAAGCGTTTTGAGGTCGGCTCTTTCCGCTGGATTCTTTTTCAAACATCGATTCACAAAGTCCGTGAAATTGTCGCTGAATATTCCGGATGGCAATTTCGGAGGTGGCTCGTTAACAATATAATCGAGCAATTCAAATATTGCCATGGGTCTTGGACTGCTTGGATCTATATATTATAAAAGAAAAGAATTTATCTCTATAGCTTCGACGAGCCTTTGCTTATCATATTTTCATACGATATATTCGAAAAGATATAGAAAATAATGGAGAGCATAATTGACGATTGTAGTAGTATTTTTTATTCTTTAAATTAAGAGACACGATTGCTTACATTTTCAAGCACAGCGAGCTCCGAGAATCTGCTTTAAATTTTAAAAATTTATATATTACATAACAGTAATATACTATATAAATTTATAAGAGTAATTTAATTAGCAATAAAGTGGCACCGTTTATTATTATTCGTGTATTATTTAAATATTATGTCAATAAACTTGCAACAATATCTAGGCCAGAATACAATGTTTAAAACATTTAATTATCCAATAAGAAGATGTTAATTGTTGAATATATTGAATATGCTAAATAGTTCGCTTGAGTTATTAAACGTTAATTTACACGAGATACTCTGCCAATAACAACAGATTCACTTTGGATAGATATTTTGTATTAATTTTTACAGAAATACTATTGCAATTTTAATATATGTTGTAAATTTGTAAAATTTATTATCTGTCGCAGTCTAAAATCATGAAAAAATGACCATTTATAATCAAATATAGAGTACGCGTTTGTTCTATTAACCATTGAAAAATCGTTGAAGTCATCACTCAACTTATTAATAATGTCGATGTATAATAGTATTTAAATTGACAGATCATATCGCTAATCCAAACAGGACAAAAGTCTTCATTTAAAAAATTATATTATAAAAAAGATTTTTAATCTCATTGGTTTTCTTTCCGTTTCAATGTTCAATTGTCGTTCACACAGAGCGAACTCTGTCCTTTCAAGGATCAGTGCCCTCATTGAACATAGCAAATTTTCAAGAGCCTATTGAATAAAAGATTAAACGCACGTTAACCGCTATGGGGTAGTAGGAAAATTTTATAGTTATACGTTACCCTGGTGACTCTCGTACTCGATGCGCCCCATGCTTCGGCCTTAAATCGTGAAACGAAAAACAATGTCAGATAAAAGGACGGACGAGCTGTTCCATAAATACATATGTAAAAGCAGGTTGTTTCACTTACTATGCGAGGACGATTGAGTCGTGGGTGTTGATATGCAGTTGCCAGCAACGCCGTCAGCCGCGACACTCGGTTGCATGCCGAATATCGCTGCTATTGTCTTGTCATCCGGTGGTGGAATCGGATACATGCCGATGGCCATTTCCACAAGGGATAGTCCGAGGGACCAAATGTCACTCTGTACCGAGTAGTGCGTACCTTGAAGTCTTTCCGGCTAGCCAACGTAAGAGCAAAGGCATTATGATATTATTATGAGATATTAATAATATTAATAATTGTTGATGCGATAAAGTATTGGGGTTAAATGATGGCGAGTGCAATTATTAAAAATGATATTCCTGCATAAGTTTTTTTTTAATATAATTAATATAATTTTCAGTGATCAAATTTATAATGTAATATCATTAAATATATAAATAGTGGAGACGATATATTTATTAAATTACGCGAATACTCTATATTCGTTGTTCGACATTTTTAATCGTACAATTAAATTTAGTGTAAATGAATAATAATATTATAAGGGATACGCGGTGTGTGATAATGCATTTTTTAATTATAAACTTGGCTGACATTGCACTGTTTATTATGCGCACACTACATTAGCTAATTTATTTTTAATATACTGATTTAAAATGTTCATGTTATAAAAATTATGTCAATTATAATATTTATTATTTGTGCAAACATAATGTCAAAGTATTAACTGACTATTATCAAAAAGTATTATCATTTATTGAATTAAATATTCCATAATAACAATAGCAATTATAATAACAAATGGAAAAAATATTAAAACTGTTGAAGGTAAATGAAAGGCACTGCCCCCTTTATCTATTTGTGCAATTATATAAATTATATAAAAATCACAAATGTTATTTCCATTTGTTATTAGTAGATGTCATTAATTGAGTTTGCTCATTTGTGTAAAGTCTCAGTGCCACTGAAATCTACGTGAAACAGTTGATGTAAAAATTTATCACATATTACCATTTAATCAACGATGTTGAGGACGATTTAAATTAATCATTGCTTGCTAAATTGTTAAAAAAATATTCAATATTAATGACTTACTGACATATAGCTCCTGGTTCCGACAAACGAATTAGCCATTGAGTCAATTAATTGCCCGGAGACTCCAAAATCACAGATTTTTATTTCACCGGCACTATTGACCAGAATGTTGCTTGGCTTAACATCACGATGCATTATCGCATGCTTGTCTCTTAAATAACTTAGACCTTTTAGAACCTAGGAAATTTATAAATTAGTAATTTAATAATGCTGTCATTTATAATTAAACTAATTCGATTATGTTTAAGTTCCATAATGTTTCGTGTAATAATTAATTGCACGACTTAATTATAAGAAGAAGAAAAAAAAGATTACGTTAACATAATTAAGTTAGAGGTGTGAAGTTAGAAAGCGATCAAAACAATATAATTCACTATTAAGCATTAGTATTTTTCATGTCATAATAAACTACTAAATAGTATGTCTTTAAGATAAATTATATCGATGATTTAAAAAATGTTTATAGTACGTGTATTTATGTATATTTTGCATATGTATTTTGTGAACTACGATCGATTCGACTAAAGCCATTAATAAATAATAGAAAAATATCAACCTCGATTGTCTATCCCTCTCATCATGCTACCGAAGAGCCGGAAAAAATGATCTAATTAGCATTCAATTTGCATTTCTTTTGAATTATGCAACGACGATAAAATAACCTTTTTTCCCTTTTCATCGAAACGCCAAGGAAAAACAAACGATATTATAAGATAAGGATAAACCTAAAGAGCTTAGCCTAAATATAAAAAGTGACGCCTAGTTGATCCTGGATAGAAATGAATGTGCTCAACAAAACTCAAACACCGAAATCCCATAAAGATGGCAACAGTCATTTACAACCAAAAAAGTATACAAAAAAGGAATTGGGAGATCTGCACAATGAAATGGAGACTCGTAATCACATTATTCCGATTAAACGACTCTGCGAAAGACTCAATACCCACGTGGACAAGGGTATCACAAATGAGGAAGCGAAAAAAATCCTCGAGTCGAAAGGATTTAATAGTCTGACGCCACCCGCGAAAACGCCCGAGTACGTCAAATTATTCATGTGCATGTTCTCTGGCTTTGCTGCTCTACTCTGGTGTTGTGGAATACTTTGTTTTTTAATTTACCTAATAGAATATTTCTACGAACAAACGGGCGACGGTATCGAGTGGTTTGGCATCATTATAATAATCATTTGCATGTTTTCCGGTATTTTCGCTTACATACAGGAGACCAAGAATGCTAAAATCATGGAATCGTTTACGCGGATGGTGCCGCTTATAGCTGTAGTAATAAGGGGAGGGAATAGGATGCAAATACCAGTTCAAAATCTGGTGGTAGGCGACCTCATCGAAATAAAAATGGGCGACAGGATTCCGGCCGATACAAGGATCATACAATGTCATGGTCTAGGAGTGGAAAATTCCAGTATAACAGGTCGCCCTTTAAATACGTTGAATTTGACAATTTTACAATTGTGCTTTACTATAATGCGAATAAATCGAAAGAGTTGCATACAAAACAAAAAAACAAAAAAAAAAAAAAAAAAAAAAAACAAAAAAAAAACAACAACAAAAAAAAAAATAATAACACAATTCAATCTTCTCTACATTAATCATCGAGATAAATTAAAATGTACAGCATTTATATACCGCTATAATAATAATAATAATAATAATAATAATAATAATAACAACAACAACAATAACAATAACAATAATAACAATAATAACATTAATGACAATAAGATTCTTTAATTATGATGGATTAGTATTTTAAATTTACTATAAAATCAATCGCGAACAGTATGATAAATAATGTTTTTGTTTTGTTTCCTGTTTCGTTTGTTGTTGTCGTTGTTATGACGTTGTTATATCGTTGAAGTCGAGTGGCTTGAAAATAAAAGTGACGATACCCTACCGTGATAACAATTTATATGAAATTTTAAAGACACTTGTACGGCTTGAGCTTAACTTAAATTCTTCAGCAATGTTGACTTAATAATAATTAAACACTCGTATGGTTAAGCAATTGTAATTATCTACAAAGTCAATCTTCTAAAGTCTACATGAACGCGTAGGTGAGAGCGAACCACTAATTTGCACGACCTATCCGACCGATGACAATCTGCTCGAGTCCAGAAATGTCGTCTTTTTCTCTTGCTATGCCGTGGCAGGTCAAGGCAAAGGCATAGTGATTGCCACTGGCAATAATACGTTTATCGGCCGTATGGCCAGCTTGACCAGCAACATGCCTAAAACCGAGACTCCCATAGCTAAAGAAATCCATCAGTTCGTCAATATATTAATAATCATCGCCATTGCCTGCGGAGTGTTCTTCTTTTTCATGTCGCTGTTAATCGATGGCGACGTCGTAAGAGCCTTCACATACTTCCTCGGCATCATCATTGCCAATGTGCCCGAAGTATTGCTCATTACCGTAACCACGAGTCTTACCATCACTGCTAAGAAGATGGCTTCGAAGAACTGTTTAGTGAAGAACCTCGAGTCCGTGGAAACACTGGGTTCCACCTCCATTATATGCTCGGATAAAACCGGGACCTTGACGCAGAATAAGATGACGGTGTCCAATGTTTGGTTCGATAATACGCGTTACAATGTACCGTTTGATGCATCGATGGGCGTGGAGAGGGACATCCTAATGGAAAAGCCCGCCTTCAATATATTCGTGAAAAATGCCACGCTATGTTTAAGAGCAGAATTTATGGATAACTCAGAGTGTCATTCTCAATATACTATGATTGAAGATCGCAAGGTGTTTGGAGATGCGTCGGAAACAGGTACTTTTTATTTTTAACGTGTCACATGATCGCACAGTCATTGATGAATCGATACTTTTTGTTTAAAACGAGTAGATCGATGTGCGTATAATGTTTGAGCAAAATCTATTATTATTAATCATTAGGAATTAAAAAAAAAAATATATATATATATATATATATATATATATATATATATATATATATATATATATATATATAAGGAGTGTAAAAATTTGATTTCTATTAACGTTATTTCTATTGACACAAGTATTATAGAACAACATAATACTGATATTAACGAAAGGACAGGTATCCTCAAGTTCTGTGAGCACATACATCCGACGAAAAGCTTCAGAGAAGAGCATCCCAAAGTTGCCGAGGTCCCCTTCAGTTCGGTGACTAAATACCAATTATCTATACATAAAGATATGAATGGTATCCTTGTGATAATCAAAGGCGCTCCAGAAGTTATAATAGATTTCTGCTCAAGGATTCTGTCGATCGATGGCACAACAAGGCAGATGACCAAGACAGATTATGAATTATCCAAGCAGGCCTGTACAGAATTAGCTTTCATGGGTCAAAGAGTCTTGGCCTACTGTGACTACGAGCTATCAGGTATCCGTCAATTCCTCGCGATTTACTAATTTAATAATTTAATAATTTAATAATACAATTCCTAATAGTCGCTTTTAAGTCTTCACTTGCTATGAAGTAAGCAAACATGTCGTCTTAACTATTAATCGTCGATGAAACGTAAAATATGTAATATTTCATTCAAATGTAATTTCTTACACGATTCACAAAATGAAATATCTAAATCTTACTAAATTACAATGTCATTTAATTCATTCTTAATATCATTCGTTACAAGCCATTACAATGTGCTGATCAATGTATCACGATATCATATCTAGTCTTAATTAAACGAAAAGGCTACGAGTTCAGAATAGACACTAAGCTATATGAAATCCAATTACATTCCTTTACGAATTATTATTTAATTATTTACTATTTATTATTATTATTATTGTTGTTGTTTTTGTTGTTTTTGTTTTTGTTGTTGTTGTAGTTGTCGTCGCCGTTGTCGTCGTCGTCGTCGTCGTCGTCATTATTATTATTATTATTATTATTACTATTATTATTATTATTATTATTATTACTATGCTTTTACATCGCCATCAGCCATTACCTCATATTATTTCTTATCTATTATTATTATTATTATTATTATTATTATTATTAGTTTTTGTATTACATTTTCGTATTGCAACCAGCTTCAGAGTATCCTTTAAATTACGAATTCAACACGAGTGATCCAGAAAACTACAATTTTCCGACGAAGGACTACAGATTCGTGGGCTTTGTGAGCTTGTTGGATCCTCCGAGACCATTCGTTAACGAAGCCGTGTACAAATGCCGCACAGCCGGCATAAAAGTGATAATGGTGACGGGCGATCATCCAGTGACGGCCATTGCAATCGCCAGAAAAGTGGGAATAATCAGCGAAGGCAACGAGACCAGATACGAGCAACTAATGGACATTGATAGAAATTACACGTCCATGAACCAAAATGAAGCCGTAGTGATTACTGGAAATGAATTGCGCACAATGAGCTCGAATGATTTGGACTATGTCATCAAAGTTCACGAGGAGATTGTGTTCGCTCGAACCTCGCCGCAACAGAAATTACTTATCGTCGAAAGCTGCCAGAGACTAGGAGAGATCGTTGCTGTTACGGGTAAACGAACAAAGTGCTTAAAACTACTTCTGCTTAAAGTACTTAAAACTACTAAACTGATTCCGGATATGACGACGAATGGCGCCTTTGCTTTGTTCGGCATCTCTCACCTTGTGAAAGCCTATCGATAGATCGATACGAAACAAAGGTCCCGACGCGAAACAAAAACATTAGTCCTACGAAGGCTTATCGCGCTATTACATCACGCCTAAGCCCGCACAACGAATGATAAATTAGCATTAATCAATATTCCTTTACCATAGGCAAATATATTTTTTGGTAAATACAAAAATGCTGAACATTTGTAATTCCAGCGATACATTCCATCGACAATTTAAGAATGTTTGGATAATTTTAGTACTCGTGAACTAATAAACTAAAATATTAAGCTTGGAGCTTGTATACCTGTGTCAGTCACGGACAATTAATTGAAAAGACAATGATAAGACTAATTGAAAAGCAAGCGTGCGTGGAACGTAATCGAAGCGAATTCGAGATTATTAATATTCCCATTCCCTGCTGGAAAATTGAATTTTCTATAAATTAAAAAGCTCAATAATTTTTAATAACAATTAAGCCATCGACATTTCATTTAAAGTACTTATAAAAATTCGAATTTCGTAATGTAAATGAACGAACGATAGCTATTTTGCAGGACTTTAGGGTCCCCCGGTAAGAACTCGCACGATCCTAAAATTCTTATCTCGATTGGATTATAGGTGACGGAGTAAACGACTCTCCAGCCCTTAGGAAAGCCGACATTGGAGTTGCAATGGGCATAACCGGCTCGGATGTAGCGAAAAACGCCGCGGACATGATACTCCTCGATGATAATTTCGCTTCAATAGTGACGGGAGTGGAAGAAGGTAGACTGATATTCGACAACCTGAAGAAATCCATAGCTTACACGTTAACGTCCAGCGTTCCCGAAATGTTGCCCATGTTAACGAGCATATTATTCTCAATACCGTTGCCATTTGTAATCGAGCTCGTTTTGTGCGTTGACGTTGGCACGGATCTATTGCCGGCAATAGCACTGGCCTACGAAAAAGCGGAATCCGATATAATGAGCCGAGCGCCCAGGAATCCTCAATATGACAAGCTCGTTAATAAAAGACTGATATCCATGACGTACGGGCAAATCGGCATGACCCAAGCCATGGCTGGCTTTTGTACTTATTTCTGCATCCTAATGTTTCATGGCTTCATGCCGAAGGATCTGTTTGGTACGCGGAATGTATGGGAGAACCAAGCGATCGACGATTTTAGAGACTCTTACGGGCAAACTTGGGATTATCAGAGCCGAATGAACTTACTCAACGAGGCGAGAACTGGGTATTTTTTGTCAATTGTTATTACCCAGATGGTAGACTTATTGATGTGTAAGACGAGAAGGAATTCGATTTTTCAGCAGGGAATGGGAAACTGGGTCTTAAATTTTGCGTTCATCTTCGAAATCATATTGACTGGCATTTTATTGTATACGCCAGGGACGGAGAAGGTTTTAAAGACAATGCCTCTGGATTTATTTTGGTACTGGCCCTGTCTGCCTCTCGGATGCTTTTTGTGGATATATGATGAAATGAGGAGATGGTGGATAAGAGAGCATCCCGGAGGTTTTCTAGAAAAGGAAACGTATTATTAAAACTTTGTTTTAGCATTAGATTACGAGGCTTAATGCGAATACGTGGGCAACAAACTGGCTTGTGCGACGAGTGAGAATTTTGCTAAATTCAAGCTAAGGAATTACCGCCAATGTGATGGTGCCCAATATAGGCTCTGGTATTCGTCCAGCTTTCTTCAGTATAAGATCCAATGATCCACCATCCATATACTCCATACATATGCTAATCTCTCCATCGCTATAATAAATATTATAAAATTATATTAATAAGCACCGTTGATTATATTAGTATTAACGATTAGGTAAATAATAAATGAATTACCTGTAAAAAGCACCGTAAAAGCCAACAATATGTGCAAAATTACATTCATGAAGTACTTTCAATTCTCTAATTATTTGTTTTTTAATGGCGGGCTTTACTTCTAAATGAATTAACTGTAAGAAATGATACGTATTAGTAAATTTATTATTATTCAAAACCATAATACACGTGTTTTTATTGTCTATGAGTCTACCTTCGATTTATAATCATTATATATCTTATAAAAGCAACTTTGTTTAGTAGTTTACTACGTTGGTGTGAAATGTTTCTATAAAATTTTTTTTTTTTACAAAATAATTATAATACTCTTACTTGGAACTTGGTTCTTAAAAACTATGAACAACGGTGTTGCAATGTCAATGATCATTTTGAATTTTGAAAAAACAATATGATTTATCAAAGATCGATTAACGAGGTCGATACAAAAACAAACAAAAGAAAATATCTATCCTGTATAAGTTGATCAAGACTCATCCAATCGACTTATCAAGAAATAATTATACAGCATTTATTTTAAAAGCAATATCCAAAGATTTGCATCATTGTGATATTCTTTTATTTTTTACGTTCGCAATAATGCGTTTAATTTTGTAAATTACCTTTCTCGCCATGATGAGACCATATTTTTTGTGCCTAACTTTCATGACTACACCACCATTTCCCGCACCTAATTCACCAAGTTTCTCAAAGTCTTCGTCGCATAGTTCACCCACTTTTTCTTTTTGTCCCAGAAAGCTCTCCAGTCTCTTCCTTTGTTCTTCGTCCATCTCTAACTCCTCTAGCCTCTCTCGAATGGCATCGATGCTCATTTTGCCCATAACTCCACTTTAAAATGAAAATAATACGGTTAATATAAACGGTTAATCCAAATGGTTCCAAAGTCACGAAGAAACATTTCTAACTTCTAATTTAAAAATTACAAAAAAAAATATAAAATAAATAATATTATTTATTTGCGTGTTTTGCCAATGGCTCATGGATTAGACATTTTGCAGTTTGTCGCAAAGAAAATCCCTTAAAAAATTGATAAAACGATATGATAACTACGTACTCAGGTATAACCGGAGGCTCCGTATATGTTGGTATTGGTGGCACAGGTGGTGATGGTGATACCGCAGGTGCAGGTTCGATCGAGCCTGGCGGAAGGGTCAAGTTCAACTTGTTTTTCGACATACTTCCTTCCTACTATACAGTACTTTCAACAACCAGTACAGCACACTCGGACGAACGAAATAATCGACTACGACAGCCTCGCGCACACAAACTCCCTATTAATTAACTTCAAACCATTCGTAATACCTATCCTGAAAATTTTCAATCATCCATGCTTTCAATTCGCAAAGCGTACATAAACGAACAATCGCACGTTAAACGGAGCGATCGTTAATAATAATAACGCTCTTACGTTCCGCGGACAAGTTCAACAAGGACGACGACGAGTTCTTCCGGTATCCCCGGCCGTGAGAGCAAGAGAGATCGACGATTCTCGTAACGATCGAGCTCGAGTGATATACCAACGGGCAATCGCACCGTCACTCGTTTCACTCGCGCACTTATTCAATTGTAAATCGCTGTACCGCCATCCACGGCACGACGCTGAACTCACGGATTCACGGATCTCATCATTCGCGTTCACTGTAAGAAAGAAAATAATTTCGCTGATACCGAATTCTGGCCTTCTCGCCCTACCATCAGCCCCCACTACCGGATTATCGTGTGGTGACGCTCTCTCGCCCGTAACTTTCTGCCGCATCCGCATGAGTCTTCGACACATGCAACACTCAAAGTAGTCGCACACACAGAGAGCGAGAGAGAGAGAGAGAGAGAGAGAGGCGTGACTCTTACGCACACCCACACTACTCGAATTATATCTCGTATTCGAGGCGATGAGGTTTAAGGGTTACGGATTATGCTGGGTGGTGCCTTTCGATTGCATTAAATTGTCTCAAGGGACGAGAGAACGATGTTTGGTATTTCGTTTGATGAGCGATAATTTCTCGATTATCTCTTACCTATTGAATTTCGACTCTCGGCTAAAAATTTTTAACCCTGCAAGCTTGCAGTCGTGCAGTTGTCTCACTCGATTTCAAACACTTGACAAAATTCTAGGATTAAATTCATGATAACGTATCATTTTTTTAGCTTCAAATGCATTAAATGATAGTCCATTAGAGCGTTAACTCTGTAAGACGAGACGACTGTATTTATAAATAAAATTTAACTCCTTTAATCTTGAAACACGATATTTAACGCTCTGCGAAATACTCAATCGCAATTATTAAGCCGAAATTTTCCACGTCAAATCTCACTCTCGCGTTAAATAAAAGACATTTTTCATAATTAAGCGTATTATTACTTATTACGCTCTTACGCAAAATAAAATTGGCAACGTATCATAAAAGTATCATATTCCTATCATATTTACGCTCGCACTTACGTGAACTCCGTCGAAGACTTTGTAAAATTAGCAAATTTTTTTTTTTAATTATGTAAAATTAACGATTCATGAATAAGCAATTCTGCTCGCTATCGCGCTAAGCTTATATTACGTTAGATTGGAAAAATTAAGGAGTGAGTGCCTGCGACCCGCATTGACGTGCATTTAATGTGCGACCGGGCGCGCACACGCTCGCACACACACGTGAACACGCGCGCCCACTCCCCCACAGTCCCCCACATGCAAATACATATATTATGACTGGAATAATAAAAGAATCGAACGTGTCATTACTTACACCATGATCGACCCTCTTCCGCATTAATTATCATTATGACTCTCTACTTCTCTACTCGAACGACAATGGTACGCTTTAACGTGAACTTTGTTTAAAAACAAAATAAAACAAACTTTATTTTCTTATTAAGTTTATTAATCAAACAAATACGTATATAAAATGAAGAGAAACATTTTTTTTTTTTTTTTTTTTTTTTTTAATGTTAACTCTTTCTAACGCATCGCATATTTCACCCGACAACTAATGGTCTGTATAATAGACAAATGAATGTGTCCACCCCCGCATCACGGCACCATACAAAACCGCGTAGAGAAATCTTCCTTATCGATTGTCCCACCTCGTTATCTTAGCTGTGCGATCGCGACTTCATGATGCTTTTATTCTGTCGTGGGCTTTAGTCGCTGTCGTACGCTCGCACTTGTCGTCGAGTCGGTTGGTTTTGCTTGAAGGGCGATACGGGGTAGGGGGAAGCTCGCGCCTTTGTGATGCTGTGGATGAAGTGACGGAAAGACGAAGAGAGGCGCACAGGAAGAAGGAGCCGCCGACCGAAAATTTTCACTCGTCAAGAAAGTAAGGATATACGCGCGTACACAGTCTCCCCTAATGTAGCCATGTGATAATGGAAAATTCATAGGCACGGACTCGCGGTCCTTTTATTTTCGCGTCGCATGCGAGTGTCATACGATCGTCGGCGATTTCTTGAATACAAATGCGCGGCGCGCGAATATTCGCCCTTATAACTTCGCGAACTTATAACGATGTACGAGTCCTGTACTTTTTGTCTCCGACTTTGCGGAAACAACGCTAGTCGACGGCGTTTTAACATAATTTCGCTAGTCCCCTTTGCGGAAACAACGCAGTCGACGAGGAAGTTTTTCCTCCAAAGAGATTGTTGTGCACGAGGACAGTTTGCCGAGGAATGTGGGGGAGAGGACGTTTTTACAGCCGCGCCTCTTAGCTCCGATAAATTTTTCTTCGATTCTGCACTTCTTGATGCTCGTTGATGTTGCAAACGAATGGGATATCGCCGGGCGACAATCATGCACCATTCGTTAGCAATTTATCTTTCATCTTCGCGTTCAACATGGAAATTCTTATATTCTCGTTCAATTCGAGACTGAGTTCTATAATTTCTTTTAATAAGTTAGATCTTGTGCATAATCGGTATTAAAAGGAAAAAATTTCGTTTTTGAAACAGTGCCTGGAATTTCGTGAAATGAAAGTATTTTTTTTTTTTTTTTTTTTTTTTTTTTTTTTTTTTTTTTTTTTTTTTTTTAATACTGAATGTGATTTGAGAATGTATTTAACCATGTAAAATAATCCAATACGCTGATTATTATTATGATTAAAATATTTGTCTCGATATATAAATTATCATTTATTACTTTATTTAAGCATTTGATTGACCGGCGAGGTTTTCATTCGAGAATTTTATTAATTTTTGCCGAAAACTTTACATTTTCATATTAATTCCCAAGCACTATTTATCTAATTTGTCAATTAAAATGATTTTAACGCTATTGTAGATAATATGTTATAGGTTAGGATACTATGAATATAGAGTATTTACAAATAAATAAACATTACATAAACATAATGATTTCTTGCGAGATAATGTAGGAGTATGCCATTACCGTGGTTATTACTAGATACTCGGGTTATTTTAGCTATTTTTAGCCCTTCGAGCACTTGAAACCTGTTTGTTCAAATCTCTGTATTAATATAACATCTTAATTTGGAATGGCTGGTGCCTTAAGTCAGTTTCTTATCTCATTTCAGTGCTCTTAATTTTTTTCTTGCTCCGGGATGAAGACATTCTTAAGTACTTGTTGTTGTTGTTGTTGTTGTTGTTGTCCTTCTTCTTGTTCTTATTACTATTATTATTATTATTGCTATTATTATTATTATTGAATCGATGCTCAAGAGTATTACTCAACAACACCAGTTGAATTACAGTAAAAACATGTCAGAGCATGTATATCATTATTAAATAATATATGTGCATTTTTAAATTATATAGGATAAATGTTTTACAAATTGTTAAAGTAGTAAACTTTAAAACAGCAAGTTTTAAATATTCTAAATAATTATGCATAAAAGTAATTCTTAAGAATTTGACATAACTGTAGGATAATAGTGCCTATATATAATATAATGGCAAATATTATAAATATATTATATATATATATATTATATGTTGATAATGCATAAGCATATGTATTTTAAACTCAATTTAATTGTAAGTTTGCTTTGGAATACTTTAGTCTAACATAAAAATTGTGCTATACAATGTGTAGTAATGTTGTAGTAATAAAAATGTGTAGTTGTTTAGTATAAATGTTGTAGTAATAAAAATAGTATATATTTTAATAGTATAAATTGTTTGTTGTATATAACATAATTTATTCATTGATTTATTTTTATATTATTTTTATACCAAGATAGATTTGATTTAAAAATTTGTTTACTATACCATGCAATGACTAATTTGTAAATATCATTTTATTTGTTATATTTAATTACTATAATACTTATATACTACTTATTGCAATTTCTACATTCCAATTGATATTTAAAAATAAAAAGTAAATTCTATTATAAATTTGAAAATAAAATAAAATTTTAATTAAAATGAGAATGATGAAGTGATTTTTAAAGACAGTTTCAAAGTTATTTCATAAATAACAATGTTTTTAATTTATTTGTAGTACAATCTTACTTCAAAATTTTCGTATGGACAACTTAATATACTTAAATTGTGCATTATATATGTTATTTTACCCAAACACTTTGTTGCATCATTATTTCATGGATCCAATTTAATTAATGTATATTAAATAAACTAAGAACGTATGATTATTAACCTATTATCTGAAGTATATAAATTTATTATAAGTTTATTGGAAGCTCGTGTATGATAAAATTTCATTTGGAATCTCAATTTTAATAAGCTGTACTTAAGATTATGTATTAGCAATAAAATTATATCTTTTATGAAAAGATGAACGTAAATAATGTTTGTTATTTTACAGAAATGACTGATAATTTGAAATCAGGTTTCATACTGTTACTGTCGATATGGACGACGACTATCTTAGCAATAAAATCCACACCAGACCTCAATGGTAAACCAACTGGTTCAAATGCTTGTATCAGCAAGCAAACGTGCCATGACTGTATTCAAACACCAAGCTGTGCTTGGTGCTCGATGCCTGTAATATGCTTTAATTCATTGTGCATGCGTTATAATAATGTCAAACGATCATCGTTTAATTATAAATTTATTTCAAAATACCTAGGGATTCGATGACAAACGATGCTTCCTTCCACATGTAAACACAAGAATATCCATAGAATGTCCAGATAATTATACGTTTAATCCAGATAACGAATACATTAAAATACGATATAAAGAATTAGCAAAAGGAAATTATAATGCAGTTATTGGATTGCAGGAAGAAGTTATTATTGAATCAGAAGAGCAGCAAACGCAACATGGAATTGTAGATATTGAATCAGATAGCGTTACCCTGCTATCGACAAGTAGTAATAATAGTAGTAATAATAGCAGTAGTAATAGTAATAGTAGTCGTAGTAGTAGTAGTAATAATAAGCAAGATCCTGTACAACTTTATCCGCAAGAAGTTAGTTTAAAGCTCAGAATAAGTAAGCGAACCAACTATTTATTTTACTTTAGATTCAAATTTTTTTACATAATTATTTATACCTTAACAAAATTATTTTTAAACAATTATTTATTATTGTTAGCTATCCATATACTTAATTATTGTTTTAGAATTTCGTTGTATAGTTTAGTTTTGTGCATCATAACTGTAAAATAATACGGTATTAATTAAAATCGATAAAACTAAATGGATTTTGTGTGATAAAAATCGATGTTAAAAATGATAAAATTATTATAATTTTGTAGATGAAGTACAAAAAATTAAAATTGAATATGCACAAGCAGAGGATTATCCTGTAGATCTGTATTATCTTATGGATTTGAGCAATTCCATGAAAGACGATAAGCAAAAGTTATCGGATTTGGGTCAGCTGCTCGTTGAAAGTATGAGCAATATTACAAGCAATTTCCGTTTAGGATTTGGTAGTTTTGTCGACAAAGTCGTTATGCCTTATGTCAGTATGGTGCCTAAAGCGTGAGTATACTTGTTCATTTTGTAAAAAAACATTTCTTTTTAATTTGAAAATCTTTATTATCTTTTCATTGCAGTTTGAAAGAACCTTGTGACAGTTGCGCTGCACCTTATGGTTATCGGAATCATATGCCCTTGTCGCAGAATACTCATCGTTTTGCGGTAAACTTTACACTTTTAATAATTTCTTTATAAAAATTTTAATTATTACCAAACGATTATTCACAGTCTTTAAGAATAAATTTATTATTTCCGTTAAATTTTATCTTCTTTACTCGTGTAGCTTTATTTCACGTTCTAATATTAATTTTCAGACGGAAGTGCGGGATGCCCCAGTTTCGGGAAATTTGGATGCTCCAGAGGGTGGTTTCGACGCCATTATGCAAGCAATCGTATGTAGAGATGAGATCGGTTGGCGAGAAAAGGCCAGGAAACTCCTACTCTTTTCCACGGATGCGAGCTTCCATTATGCAGGCGATGGAAAACTCGGCGGCATTGTAAAACCCAATGACGGTTGCTGCCACTTAGACAAGAGTGGCATGTATACCCACTCTACTCTTCAAGATTATCCCAGTATTTCGCAAATTAATCTTAAGGTTTGGCATATCAATTGGATTCCAATGCTCTATACATTTTAAACTTAAATATAGATTTATTTCGTTTTTATAATTAATTGCTAATAACTGACAATATATCATAAGCACCATTGAAGTAACGACATTAAGAATTTTCAATTTAAGAATAAAATCCTAAGCCAATTACCTGATATTCCATTACACACGTTACGACACGTTCGGTATTATATTTATTATTATTATTATTATCATTATTATTATTATTATTATTATTATTATTATTATTATTATTATTAATAATAGGTAAAAGAGAATTCCGTTAATGTCATCTGGGCTATAACGGAGGAGCAAATGAAGATTTATTCGAATCTAACGAAACTCATCGAGGGATCTTACGCAGCTAAGCTAAGTGACGACTCCAGCAATATTGTCGACTTGGTTCGCGAGCAGTACAATGCAATCTCAAGTTCCCTTGAGATGAAGGATACGGCAAGCAATTACGTTAATCTAAGATATTATTCGAGTTGCCTCGGTGCTGGACCATTAATTGAAACCAGCAAATGCGATGGCCTTAAAGTAGGCAATAAAGTTGAGTTTACGGTTGAGGTGGAGGTGCCGGCATGTCCCGAGAACCGCTCAGAGTGGAACCAAAAGTTTCTTATTTATCCGGTAAGGGTTGACAAATCCTACTCTATCCTTTAGTAACGTGGCCGTAAATTGGTCTAAAGCCTGCGAATGCCCGCAGGTCGGAATAAACGAGTCGCTGACCGTTAATCTGGAAATGCTTTGCGATTGCGAGTGCGAGAGCGCCGGCCCAAGCAATACGGGATTCGAAGAGAAATCGGCGAAGTGCGACATGCACGGCGACCTGAGCTGCGGTATCTGCTCCTGCGACGACGGCTACTTTGGCAAGCACTGCGAGTGCAGCGCCAACGATCGGGGCCAGACGAATATCAACGAATACGCCTGCCGCAGAGACAACACCTCGACTTACGACTGTAGTGGTAGAGGCAATTGCGAGTGCAACGTCTGTAATTGTTACGGCAGAGAAGATCCCAATGAGGTGAGCGCTGCCGACCTTTTGATTAAATGTACATTAATTACCGAACAATTACGCTCCTCCGGGCTTTTACATCGTGGTCAAAATAGCCAACACTTTAAAGCTGAAGCTGAAAATTATCAATTAAAAATTTCTGCTTCTTTGTTAATAATAATAGCAACGTAGGATATGTGAGAGCTTGTAAATGCAAGCCACAAAAAAAAAAAAAAAAAAAAAAAAAAAAAGACGAAGAAAAAAAAGCGAAAGTTTTGCTTAAACATTATTTGGAAAAGTCACACTCACATGTTAAGTCTTAAGCCTTGAAAATTCTTTAACGACGGGGTTCGAAGAATCCTTCTTCGGCATTTATGCATTTATTTTATTAATTACGTCCATATCGATCCACAGCTTCTTCGCCTTACGCGTCGACATCTCGGTAGCTCAACACCACGACATCGTCGTTACATCTACTTTGTTCTTTGTCCTTTTCTTTAGTCTGTTTGGGGACAATATTGCGAGTGCGACAATTTCTCCTGCGATCGGCGAAATAAGGAATTGTGTTCGGGGAAGGACAACGGTAAATGCGTGTGCGGTACTTGCGAATGCAAGACCGGCTGGTCTGGCAAGGCCTGCGAGTGTAGCACCAATAAGGACACGTGCAATCTATATGGGCTCGAATGCTCCGGTCACGTAAGCCAATTAAGCCGTATAAGTCGCCAATTTTTGCGGACTATCGATGACACTCGACGAGCCTATTTTCATAATTGCAGGGAGTATGCGAGTGCGGCAAGTGCAAGTGCAACGTCGAGGGCGAGACGCGTTACTCCGGCCAGTATTGTCACGTCTGTCGTACCTGTCCGAATCGATGCGAGGAACTGAAGCTCTGCGTGCTCTGCAGGGCCTTCGAGCTCGGCAACCTCACCGACATCGAGTGCGACAAGAGCTGCGCGGACTTTGACTTTGAGTTTGTGGAGACACTCGAGGTAGACGTCGACAAGGACGAGATCGGCTGCCACGGTTACGACGAGCAGGACTGCAAGTACTACTTTGCCTATTATCACAACGTCACCGGCAACTACCTTCAAGTGCGCGTGCAGAAGCAGCGCGAATGCCCGCCCCAGGTGTACGTGCTGGGAATCGTCCTCGGGGTCATCGCTGCCGTTGTGCTTATCGGCCTCGCGCTTCTCCTGCTCTGGAAATTACTCACAACCATACACGATAGGCGAGAATTCGCTAGGTTTGAGAAGGAAAGAATGATGGCTAAGTGGGATGCTGTGAGTATATTGTCGTCGGGCCTCTGATTTGCCCATCGTTACTTCGTATTTCGCGTGTATTTGGAAATCATTGTTGTTTAAGTAAACTGAATTTAAGCAACGTATTAAGTGAATGTTGAACGAAGAAATTTCACGCATTTGAAATATTTGATGCACAATTTTTCTGATCGCGGTGATATGCGGAAGAAAAACAAAATACAAAACAAAAATATATAAAACATTCGGATGAAGAATAATTCTTTCAAATGTTGTAGAAGTCACGGATTTGTAAATACTTAATATAATTATTGAATTTATAGTATAATATTTTTATTCAGTGGTAAAAGTACGTTTAAATTCAAAAGTCTTTCGTACAACGATAGCCAATCATTGATTATCATTAGTAAATAGATGTGCTTATTTACGTTATTAAAGATTTAAAAATTTTAATTTAATGTAAAAAAGCAATTTGAAAATTGCCAATGCAATTCTAATGCAATTATATACAAATTATCTATCACGATTATTATCCTTTTTGTTTTAGAGCGAAAATCCAATCTACAAACAAGCAACTTCGACTTTCAAGAATCCAACGTATACAGCGAGCAATATTAAATGAATGAACAAGAAACAAAGATTTAAAAATTTATTGTTAAAATTTTATGAAATTTTAATACGAGTCCGAAACAATGTAATGGGGCAGCTATTCAAAAGTTAACCGAGCTTCAATTATTTTTATGAATCTATACGCACGCGCGCGCACGCAATCAAATATATATGCACGCATACGCATAAGCGAGCACAGGTATACGTGTAGTAGTGGCAGATGGATGTGATTGTATGCGTGTATACATAGCTTGGTTAACTTTTAAATAGAAAAGATAAATATTAAATGGAATATTGCTTTAAATTAAATAATACGCAGAATGTAAATTTTAGATTTTAAGGACGTGTCATCTGCATCAAAGATTATATAGATATTTATGTGCCTTTTTTAATTAGTATAAATGACCAAAATTTAATCTCAATTTATTATAGATAGTTCGCATTTTTATACGATCGCGGTAACTATAAAAAATAAAACTATGATTAATAGTATAAATAAATTTAAGCGTAGGCTCGTATGTGTTGTTTAAAAATACACGAAAAAGTTAAAAATTATTATTATAAACATGCATAATACATAATGGCTTTATTATGTATACGCGATGTTGCACTTAGCGCTTCTTAGCTTTCTTTGCGATGAGAAAGTTGTGCCTTAATCATATTATCCGTAATATTTAACACGAACATCTCTGATTTAAGTTTTACCGCGATTACATTTTAACATGAAAAAACGTCGTGTCATTTCATTTATTAAGATATATAAATCTGTTAGCGTGGCATAAGCCAAAGTTGACCGCAAATGTACGCTACAAACTGGCCGTAGCAACGCTGGATCGTACAGGGCCGGAAATCATTGTTAATCTATTGTTATTTCGATTAACAGCAGTTGTAATTATCCGTACAACCTTGATGAATCGTAAGGATGTAATTTTTGTCGAATGGAATGACATGATTTTTCAACAGTCATCTTATATTTGTCATTTAAGTCACTGTTCCAAAACAAAAAGTAAAAAAAAAAACTGACTGCCGCACATTAATCTTTTAGTGAGAGAGAGAGAGAGAGAGAGAGAGAGAGAGAGAGAAACACTGAAAAATCTAAATTTTAAAAGTAAATTCTCATTATGCGCGACGTAATAGCTTATCATAATGCCTTTGATGCCTCAATGTCTCTGATATTAACTTCAAGATAAAGTTACAATTAGAGTTAGTATTTTCGAGAATTTGCTGGGAATATGTAACTACAAATCTTGTAAATACTTAACTACTCAGATTTATACAAGTGCCTACACACTAAATATTAATTATAATTATAGTGATAGTATATTTTAATAAGGGCACCGAGACTTTAAGTCGCAATTTAATAATATAATGTCAAATTATTTAAGAGAAATTCTTCCGTGATTCATAGCTTCTAATGAGAGAAAAACGCTATTTTACATACATTTGCAAATTATCTTTTCATTTTAGTCTCTTTTAATTCTTCCGTTTTACGAATTATAATGACACTCGATTGATTTCTTTCGATTATATAATATATATATATATATATATATACATGTAATTATAAATATAAGTTGAATACAAGGTTTTATGCCAGGCTATCCGGCACGTTGATCCGGCACTTTATCATCCCGATGGTGTTGGTGTCGATCACCGACAGGCTATCCACGATAGGCGTAGAGACGATCATTGCACGTGATATACAGGATAGCGGTTATTTCTTAATCCCGTCACTTCCGTTCCTGATTCACGTTCCGAGCCGTATCCATCATCATCGAAGCCTGTAATTATGATATTCGTAGCCAATGGTGAAAAGTGCCAATGGACATTTTGTTGCGAGACGCGCATTCAAAGTCCTAGGCTCGATTAACCTGGCCTCGAGCCTCCCGCAACATCATACAATGCGTTATCCCTCCAAGAAGTGTCGTTCTCTAAAAAAAAAAAATTGTCAGCCGTGTAATTGGCTCGAGTCAAGTTAATCATTGCACGCTTCCGACGGAATTTTCCTTCCAAAATTTGACAAAGCGTTTATTTTTATGTTGGCCATCCGTTTAAAGGATATTTTAACATTTATATATAAAATTTTATTCAATTTTTTTCGATGAATTACAAAAGAATTTTAACAACTATATTCAGATATTTAATTAAAATTTAATAAGTAAACGACTTTACGACTGGACTTTGATTGTACGAGAGTTTAGTACTTAACTTAATTCCATGCTTTTACTTTGTGTATTTCAATTATTATTTTATACACAATAATTCCCTTAAAAATATGTGATTCATCTTTGATAATAATTATTTTATCTTTCCTACGCATTACTTTATTGTCCGTTGTTTTTAAGAATTTTTATTTCTCATTTTTATTAATTATTTCGTACTTCATATAGTTTTAGGTCTAAATATATAATATTATTAGACAACAATTGCAATTCTTTGTAAGTACGAGTGGGAACAATTTTATAAATGACATGACCTGTTCAATTATGTATTAAATTTATGAATGTATAGACTGAGTAAGTAAGGGTCCAATTTGTGACAGCTAAAAAGATAAATAAATTTCTACAACAATATATTGTATTTTTTGTAATCATATATATATATATATATATATATATATATATATATATATATATATATACACACATATGCATACGTGCTGTTATTATGCTAAACATTACACGTTTTAGAAATTGCGTAAACCGGATCCCTCGACCGATGTTACATTCCTAATAAGTAAGAAGAAAATATAATTGACATTTCAAGTTTATCCAAGAAGTATATAATAGATATGTTTAATTACTACAACGTAATGTCATTATATCCGTTTGATCAACATTCATTGTAATTTAAGTCAGATTAAATTTAGCCGCCAAATCGAATCGCGTTCTTTTCAAATTAATATGGCGGAACATTTTCTAATCTCTCCGGATAAGCGGTGCTCCAAGTATAATTAAAATACAAAAAAATCATCCTACACGATTCGGAATTCGTAGCTCGTTTTATTAAAAAAAAAAAAAAAAAAAAAAAACAACAACAACAACAACAAAAATCATTGAAAGAATTTTTATTCGCATTCTCATATAACTGCAATAGTCGGTGGTAGGTAAGTTTATCGAGTTCACTTATGTTGTTTGGAAAATTCGAAACCATAAATTTATTAATCTCAATACAATTGGCCCTAACATCACTTTTTAATCCATCAAAATTTATATCCCGATATATCTCACCATACGTGTGCCTGTGTACGTAAACTTATATAAATCACGTAAGCATTTGTGACAACATGTAGCCTTATACGGGTATATTTGCATTAATAATGCCCATTATGTAAAAAATTATTTCACGACATGACGGAGGATGGCAAGGTAAGGTAAGGATGACGATGATGGTAAATTTTGAATGGATGCCGCGTCCGCCTGGGCCAATGAGCCACGTTCGACGAGATCCCAGGCGGGAGAAAAACGCGCGACTCTCGATGCCTGGGCTCTGTACTGTGATATGCGAAGTGTCCGAGGGAAAGGAAATCGGGCGAGCGCAGTCGCTTCCGTCCCGTCCTAACCTCATTCTTTTCGATCCCGAGATTTCGAAGAGGTATGGTATAATCGTAGCGCTACGTTTCGCGAATCGATTAACATCGCCGTGAGACGTCGCGCGAATGTGAAAAATTCTTTCGCGGCTGATGGATCGCTGCGTCGCTTTAGCTCATCGCGGTCACATTAATACTCGGCCATGTATTATTAATCGGAAAAGCCATCGTCAAAGT